TTATCATGTGAGAATGAGAGTAAAAGCACAAAGGGTGATGTTGTGTATTATCATGAGTTTATGGCACGAAGAGTGTTTCCGTACAGGCGAGGATGAGGGACATGCCTTATGTTGTGATATATTTTCCTTGTGTGTACATTCATGCCTTTACCTGGAGTTATTATTGTTGCACTTATGTTATCTGCGTGACTTGTCGTTGTTGTTCTATCTTTGTCCTCAATATCGATTGTTGGTGTGTTGTCCATGCCTTCTATCTGTTTAACTTGCATATATCATGCCTTCCTTTTTTTTTGGTAATTAAACTTTCATTTACCAGGGAAAATATTTACAAGAGAAACAAAAACCCTTTCAGATTTTCCTACTTTCCTATGCTTCACCCTTCACCACCTTTCTATTATTTACACATTTTCTATCTATTACATTGGATACCAGTCTAGGCTATGTAGGATTTTCTCTATATACTTATTACTTCGACAATGAATCTCCTGTATAATCAGCTTGCATATTATCTCCCATCCTCTTGCCTTGGCTTGAAAAATTCGAACATTTCTTTCTTGCCACACATAGTACACAGCTGCTGATAATGACATTTTATACAATTCTGCTGCTGCATTTTTCCTCTTAGTCCACTTCTCAGCCCATTTTAGTTCCTCATCCCATCCCTGCACTGGTCTTTTGATCCCTTGCCATACTAGCAATTTACTCCACAATGCATTTGCATATGGACATTCGAAATACAGATGCTGGATGGTTTAACTAACTTGTTTGCTTAGGACACAATCTTGATCAACTTGTATTCCCCATCTCTGTAGCCTGTCTCTTGTGTATAGTTTGCCATGAGTTGTCATAGTTAATACAAAAGTCCACCTGGGACATCCTGTGTTATGACACACAACTCTTCTCCAGCTTACTTTGTCAAATCTTCCTCGCACTCTGTGATACATGAGTTTAATCGAACAGTTGTTCATCTTTATGATATCATCATAGCTGAATCCTGCATCCATAAATGTCTTCTTTGCTTTCATGATCTTGCTCACCATCTATGATGTTTGCTTCAGTTGGATTTCCCATATGTTCCTATCTTTGATGTAGTAGCTACGCATCCATTGTATCCACAGCTTCTTCTTTTCTTTGCAAAGTTTCCAGTACTGTTTACATATGGCAGCTTTGTTCCAGATTCTTATGTTCATGATATTAAATCCCCCAGCTGATTTGGGGAGTGTCACACCTCCTTTTTTACCCACGCGAAGGGGTATAAGAGAGTTTTTCCAATCAAAGTGACATTATTCGAAATGGGATTATTTTATTAATTTTTCAGAGTCGCCACTTGGAATAATTTATTTGGTGTCCCAAGTCACCGGTTTATTTTAAAATCCCAAATCGAGGAAAATTTTATTTTTTAAAGTCTGCGAACCAGAAATTCTAGATAAGGAATTCTGTTAACCCGGGAGAAGGTGTTAGGCATTCCCGGGTTCCGTGGTTCTGGCACGGTCGCTTAGTGATTTATACTTGGCTTAAATTGTTTAACTACTTATTTTAGAACCTATGCACATTTTCCTTTTTACCGCTTTTAATTACTCGATTATTCGCGATTATGAAATTATCTTGAAACGAGCCACGCGCACGTATAATCATTTCGTTCGGCTCGTCAAGAATCATGTCACGCGTACGTGTACATAATTAATAACACTTTATTATTATCAAGAATGTTTGGCCGAGATTGCGCGAACACATACCTCGTTTTATTTTAAAAATTATAATTATGTCACGCAAACGTGTACGTAATTAATATATTATTACGATTGTTTTTGGCCAAAGTCGCGCGAACGCGTACTTTGATTTTATTTTTGAAAATCGCAATCACGTCACGCGAACGTGTACACAATTAGTAAAATTTTATTATTATTAAGATTGTTTCGCCCCAAGTTGCGCGAACACATACTTTGGTCTTAATTTTGGAACCCGTAATTATATCACGTGAACTACAAAAATCCTAAAAATTTACTTACCCTAGTGTGATCGGCCTAATATGCTATAGCGATATTGCAGTTGATAAAACATTAAACGAAAGCAACAAATTATTTAAGTTTCCAATTCTCGTTACCCAACCAGTACATAAACCCATAAGCGCGAGAATTCTAATTTTTATCCTTTCAATTCATGAATCAATGCTGCACCCACTCATTATCAAACCAAAAGTTATCAAATAGATAAATCTGACATAATGAGTTTAAATCTGGAATAAATATGAGGTTAAATTATAAGTGTTGGAAAAAGCAACTAAGATATAATATCACCCTATTCTTTAAAGGAAAAACTATTTTAACTTTGAGACTCATTCACATGTTAAGCAATTTTGTTCTTCAACACATATTGGTATTTGCCTGACGTGAATTCAAATATTTTCTTATAATTAAAAACTTAAAACAGAGAAATACTTAAACAAATATGAAACTGGGAATGCAAATCATACACACGACAAGGATTAAAAACGAGAGGAAACAAACACAAAACATTCACATGAAAAATGATAAAAGACGAAAAGTTTAGAATCGGACCTCAATAATATTAATAAGAACTCGATTACAGCAAACTGCGGTGAACTGAATCTCACTGTAAAATGAAAACAGGGNTTTTGATGGTTTCATTTGTTCGGCGTAACTCAATTTTCGGGAATGGAGGCTACTGCTTTTTTTATTGTAGTTCATGGTTGTTTCTCTAGTGGTTTGGGGTGAATTTAAAGACTGTATTGAAGCTACATTTCAGCCTGTTTAACTGGATAAAAGGGATGGTTTTGACGGCGTTTTGGGAACTAATATGGTGTTAAGTTGCTGGGTTTAATGGTGGAGAATGGGGTTATCAATGGTGGTGAGGGAAGAGAAAGCATCAGGGATTTTCATGGTTACCCTTTAGGAGAAGATGAGACTGAAGATCCTTCCTATTCTCTCGCCTCTTTTCTATCTCTCTTTATCTTTTTCTTTTGTTTTGCTTATTGTCAGCCTTCCTTTTTTTCTCTCTTCATTCTTTGTCCTTTTTCTTTCCTCCTTCTTTTTTTGTGAAATGTACTTTTATATAGATGTCTATTTGTGTTATAACTGATGTCAAGAAAGTGGGGAAGTGGGGATTGGGACGTGAGTGTGTCGGGTGGTTTTTTGGAAGATCATGGGTAGGTTGACTCACATTTGAAATTTGAATTGGTTATCAAACTTTTCAAAAGTCACGTAAATGCTTGTTATTTCTTTTTCTTTTTCTTTTATAAGTAGAATTTAATTAAACTATTAAGACAACAAATATTAATTAACTAACTCTAGTCTAGCACAATATATATACATATAAAAAATTAAATATTTACATATACTTTACGTAATACTAAGAAAGACTCTATAGCTTACTTAATTTTTTTTTTTGGTAGACTTTCATTTTCTCTTTACAAATAGAAATAAAATATGTTTTACACACACACACACACACACACACACATTAAGATTAGACCTAAAGAAAATATTTACTAAAATAGTATATAGTTTGGGTGTGGTCAAAAATTAGTTGTTCACAGGGAGACAAACTTTCTCCCATGCCAATAGAGCCTTTTTTGACACATTACCTTCTCCTGTCCATAGAAAGCTTCTGCAGATTGCTTCAATTAGCTTTGTGATCTTTTTAGGGAGCACAAAGATTTGTGCCCAGTAAGTTTGGATAGAGAACAGAACACTCTTTATCAGTTGAATCCTCCCAGCATAAGATAGAAACTTAGCAGTCCATGAGGTTATTCTACCTACTATTTTTTCAATCAGAGGTTGGCATTGTGCTATTGATATTCTTTTAGTGCTTAGAGGAGCACCCAGGTATCTGACTGGCAGGTCACCTCTCTAGATTCCTAGAAACTCTAGGATTTTCTCTTGTGCATCTTGTGTGACTCCTCCAAAAAATATTGAACTTTTGTTTTTGTTGATCACTAGTCCAGAAGCTTTTGAAAACTCCATGAAGCGATGAAATAGTAACTTGACTGATCCTATATCACCCCTGCAAAATAATAAAAGGTCATCAACAAATCCAAGTTGCAAGATTTGCATCTTTGCACACTTGGGATAGTAGTTGAAGTCCGGGATCTGGTTCAAAATCTTTAAGCTTCTTGTCAAGTATTCAATTGCTAGTACAAACAGGAATGGAGAAATTGGATCCCCTTGTCTCAACCCCTTCCTAGCTTCAAATGGCTTTGTCAATGCACCATTGATCAGAATTGTATAGGTGATAGTCTCTATACAAGTCATGATCCACCTCACAAATTGCTCAGGGAAAGCCAAAGCATTCAGTACCTGTTCCATGAAAGCCCATTCAACTGAGTCATAGGTTTTTTGCATATCCAGTTTCATCATACACCTAGGTGATACCCCTTTCCTTCCATATCCTTTCACAAGTTCATGGCTAAGGATGATGTTATCTGTGATTACTCTGCCAGGAACAAATGCAGACTGTGTACTATCAATCAGTGTATACATAACTCCTTGCAGCCTCTTAGTTAAGACCTTGGAAATCACTTTGTATAGCACAGTACAACAGGAGATAGGTCTGTACTCTTTTATGCTAGCAGGATTCCTGACTTTAGGAACTAAGGTAATAGTTGTACAGTTTATAGGTCTATACATTTGAGTTGTTTCAAAGAATTCCAATACAGCCTGTGTCACATTCTCTCCTATAATTTGCCAGGATTTTTTGAAAAACACTGCATTAAAACCATCATATCTTGGGGCTTTTAAATCACTGATTTCCTTCAATGCTTCCCATACTTCTTCCTTAGTCACTGGCTTGATAAGCTGTAACTGCTGATCTATATTTAATACTGCTCCCAGTTTCATGACATTTGGGTTTATGGCTAGAATGTTTTCTGCTCTTGACCCCAGCAGTTTCTTATAATATCCTAATATTTCTGCTTCTATATCATCCTCCATTACTAGTTGAGTTCCCATGTCATTTGTTAGGATCTGGATTCCATTCAAGTTTCACCTATTCTTCATCTGTGCAAAGAAATAGGCTGAGTTTGAATCCCCCAGCTTCTGCCATTGAACTCTGGATCTTTGCTTGTATATACTCTCTTCGATCATTACCCATTTTTCTAATTCACATTTCAAGGCTTTCTCCTTATCTATTAACTCTATGTTCTGTAGTCTATAGCTCATTTCCTCTTGTACTATCTGTAGCTCCTTCCTGGTCTCTTCAATCCTTTCATCAACCCCTTTAAAGTGCTGTATGTTTATCTCTTTGATGACCTCCTTTGTCTTTTTAAGGTTATCCCAGACTGCCTGCATCTTCCCTCTTGTACCCCTTTCTTTCCAAGCTAGCTCCACTTGCTGTGTGAATTGGGGATGATCAGCTATACAGTCGAAAAATCTGAATGGTCTGTTCTTCTTTCCCTGTACCTGAGTGATCATTAATTTTAGTGGTGAGTGATCAGACACAAGAGGCTCTAGCACCTGTACTTTCAAGTTTGGCATTGTCATCATCCAGCTAGCATTCACAAGAGCCCTGTCTATCCTGCTATAAGTATGGTTGTTTGTCCATGTGTAATTCCTTCCCACATATTGTAATTCATTCATCCCAGTATCATTCATATACTCCTTAAAATCTTTTGTCTTCACATCTTGAATCTCAGATCCATGTTGTCTGTCTTGTGCATGTAATACTGCATTATAATCCCCCATAGCTAGCCAAGGACCTTGTTGCATACTATGAATCTGCCTCAACTTCTTCCACAAATTCAATCTATCTTTGATGGTATGCAAGCCATATATTGCTGAGAATCCAAATGTGATTGACTTTGAGATTATTCTAATCTGGCCATGTATCAATTGTTCATCAACTTCAACTGGTTCAAATGTATAGATCCTAGGGTCCCAAATTACCCATATTCTACTTTTGTGCCTTGTACTAGAGTTGGATGTCCACTTCCATCCAGATGCAATCTTCTTAATTACCTTATTAGTTTTGTGCTCTTTTACTCTATGTTCAACCAAAGCTATTATTGCTTTATTATTTCCTTTTATGAACTCCAATACCTCATTTTGCTTATAAGTTTTATTCAACCCCCTAACATTCCATGTTATCACACTCATACTGGTATGAAATAAGGATAATGATACAGTTCTTGCACCACTGGGCTACTTTGCTGCACTTTGCTTGTACCTGGTTCATCATATGTATGATCATTTTTCAAACTTTGGAATCTATTACTCCAGTTAGTTCATGTTCTTCATTTTGTTTGGCCTTGGCTGCCCTTGCTGCTGATTTACCAAGGACTGTTATCCACCCCTCATCATTCTTTTGTGCATCTTCCCCTTCTGACTCTGACTCTTCCAGCTGAGTTGATGCAGTCACTTGCTTTTGTTCAGTCTCCTTCTTTTTATTGGCACCATCTCTATCTGCTCTGAGCCAGACCTGCTTGCCTTTGATCACCTTCCTCTGTTGGATCATTCTTTGTGGTTGTGTATTTTTTATCTCAGTACAATCATGTCCTATTTTCAAACACTTAGTGCAGTATTTTGGCTGCCAGTCGTAAGTGACTTCCTATTGGATTAGCCTCCCCTTAGGATCCTGTAATTTCACATTCCTAGGCACTGGCTTTGTGATGTCCATTTCAATTAGCATTCTTGCATAAGAAATCCTAATTGAACCAGTAGTACATTCATCAGCATAAACAGGATTCCCCAATGCACTTCATATCTTACTTAATGCTTTCATACTCCAACAGTTGAGAGGCAAATGAGGAAATCTCACCCATAAGGGAATAGTTTTCAATACTTCATCATGCACATTGAAATCTTCTGACCATGCTTTCATAATTATAGGTCTATTGTTCACTGTATGAGGCCCAGAGTATAGCACCTGATCCCTTTCCTCCAAATTGTTGAATCTTATCACAAAGTAACCTTCATTATGATAATAGATCTGTGGTTTTACTGAGAATTTACCCACTGAGCTCAGGAATCGTTCCATTGCTCCAATAGTAGGTGATTCCCCTATCACATACAGGACAATCGGAGATCTCCATTTTTCAGTTTCCAATTCAACATCATCAAGTTCTAGTTTCACTATCTTCTCACCATTTTGAACTATCGGGGCCATAAACTGTAAATTCATACCTTTCATGGCTAATTTGTTACCTACTACCACATTTGCCCATGACTGATTCCTGTTTTCATTCCTTGTCTCACCATTTTTACTGTTCTCCACAGTACCATAGTTGCATGGTATTGTTCCATTGTTTAGGCTTCATCACTTGTGTTTGAGCTTTCCCACTTCTAGATCCACTACCTGTAATTTGAGCAGCTACAGGTGTGACAGCTATTTCCTTCGATTTACCTTTATTAAAAGAAAGATCTGCTTCCTCCTTGCTCAGCTCACTCTGCATGCTCCTCAGAGTGGAGTTTCCAGTTGGTTCTTCAATTTGTATCCCTTTTGGTGACACAAACAATTCTAATACAGCATTCCTGGTTTCCGTTGATCGCTGGTCATTAATTGAAACCTTCATCTGGTTTTTCTTAGGTCTGCCTCTCCCTCCCATGGCTTCCAAGCGCACGTTAGCTAGGCCACGTTAGCGTGCTCTAAGAGAGAAATGTTAGAGAGAGTTCTTCTATCATCATGCCTTCCTTCCTGCTGTTATATCTACATCTAAGTCATCTCTATTTTGTTGCACTTTAGTACGAGCCTTCTACCATGATAGTTATTCATGCCTCTACTTGTTAGCTTACAAAAATCATGCTTTTCCTTCTTAATTGTTATATCTACAACTAGGCCTTCTACCATGCTAGTTAGGTGAAGTTTATGTTCCTCTTTCCTAATTGCTGTCATTACTCCTATGCCTTCAACCTAGTATATTACCTTTGTCCATATGTATTTCCTTGTTCATTATTGCCACTCGTGTATTTCCTACTTTGTCATCACTATTATCGGCATTTCTGCCACCTGGTTGGTACCGTTATACGTATATTCAATGAGGATGAGATAATTGCACGAAGGGTATTACCGTGCCATTGAATTGATATCTTGAGTACGTTTCTCACATTATGAAAGTTATGGAGTTACTATTGTGGTTTGTTGGTTATCGCTCTAAGGAGGATTGGCCAAGATATTAGGAAATGTTAAATTGTGATCTCTTATGTACTTAGTTATTTTTGTTATATTCTAGTATTGTTCTGCTAGTTTACTGTATCGATTATATCAGTGAGTATCTTTTAATTAAAAAGCCTCGTCACTACTTCACCGAGGTTAGTCAAGATACTTACTGAGTACATGGGGTCGGTTGTACTCATACTATACTTCTGCACCTTGCGTGCAGATTTTGGAGCGAAGCTACGGTGGATGACAGGGGCTGACTCTGAAGATGTTCGTGCCTTCCGGATGTGGCTACCACTTGTTCCCGGGGTAGTTCTAGAGTTGAATGTACATTTCAAACAGAAGTTGTATTTATTTCATATCCGTTTTTGCAATAACCAGTGCTAGCAGCTCATGTCTTGTATTACTAGTCTTTGGGTCATTGTTTGAAATCCAGATATATCAATTGTTGATCATATTTATTTTATTAGAAGTTAACTGTTAATTGGCGGACCTAACGGGTCGAGTTAGGTGGCATCACGACTTGTAGATTTTGGATCGTGACATAAGGAAACAAAATTTACCGCATCAACAGTTAATCGGCAAAAAATAGTTTTATTACATAGATGTAGATGCAACTATCACAAATTACTACAAGTTCACCCAAAATGAATTTGTCCAATGACCAACTCGAGCATAAATTACCCTAATAAAACTAAGATGGATCCATCCTTCCCCTGAAGATATCCAGTGCAAATTTTGCCCTGAACAACTCCATTCGCTTGTCATTAAGCTACACCATCGGAGGAAGTTAACGACCTTCACTGCATATGTTCCACTGATTTCGCTACAATAATCAAAGACACAATTAGTTATTAGAGAAATCAGAAGAATGAGTAAAACATAATGGATGATACATTTAGTTTACCTTTGAAAGCTAATTACTATCGTTGCCGAAGGAATATGCGTCTTAGCAATTGATCTTCCTCATGTTACTTACATGCAAATATGTAACGTCGCATTTAATAATTTGAAACTTATGATCGGAATATGAAAAACGATCCCAATTCTAGCTAACATCTATGACCAGAAGACAATCGACCACATGTTTATCAATAAACATTAGGTCGCCAGTCCGACGAAATTCTAAAATACAGAGCCCAGAGATAGTCCAAGAAGCAAATATAACCACCCACGCCATATAAGATAGGTTATACACAACCCAATCGATCTTGAACATGCACATGAACGAATCCCTCTATAAAACCCCAATCACAAATGTACGAACAAAAAAAATAAATTAAGAATTACCAAAGTTGATAGGGGCTATAGAGACGATTCCACCCAAAATCGAAGCTTGATTCTTGTCGCCGCCGAAAATCACCGTGGTCGAGGGGGTTGAGTGAGAGAGAATAAACAGCAGAGAGATGAAAAGGAAAATAGCAAAATATTTTGGTGAAATAAGATTTTTCAAACCTTAAAGGAAACCCACAAGTTTTGAAATTATTAAAAAGGCCACAACCACCTTAACCCACTCATTTAGCTATTTTCTAACCCAAAAGAATTGAGAAAGAAAATAGATGGTCATTGGCCAATTTAACTTTTTTGGAGGTTTTCTTGACAACCTCTCAACTTACTATCATTGCCTCCCAAAGTAACAATCATGGGGGAATTTATATTTACAAAGGTGATACACAAATCAATTGTAGTTCTTAACCATTTAATTAGCTTGAAGCGTACCTACTGAGACCGTGAAAGAAAATATCCTATAAAGCTAAAGTTATAAATAAAATTGGTTCAAGTTGAAGGGAGAAGAACTAAAAAGAAGTGCATATTTAATTGTCTTTTACTTTTATTAGAATTTTCTCAACTAACCTAAAAAAAAAAAGAGAATAACATAATAAATATAATAATTATTTAAATTATACTATATAGGAAGAGTAGCTTTTTGGCCTCTAATTTTGTGAGGCCTAAAGGGGCCGTTTAGTAGCCTAGGGTTAGCCGCCTCTACTTGCTGACGACTTTTAAGTTCTACTCTTTTGGCATTTTTAGAAAAAAGTTGATTAAGTAGGCCATCAATGATGAAACGAAGTGATCAGCTTTTATATATATCTCTAGAGGAACCCATATGCAACATGAATTAATGTGCCAACATTTGTTTAAAAGCAACTGCATAATTTAATAAGAAATTATTGAGATTTACCAAGAACACACGAATCTAGTCTAATTAAAAGAATTCATATCTTGTACGTAATTAATTATTAAGTAAGTTCATTCACATTAGGAGGTATTGATTGAACTTGCCGACCAACTTACTTTTTCATTTTTCTTAGAAGTCATCAACTTGTTTTATGGCTTTTATCGCAATAATGGATTTGAATTAAGGAGAACCTTAAAACAATGATAAAGTTATTTTCATTTGACCTATAGGTTAGAAGGCCGAGCCATAAAAGCAGTCACTAATATTCTTAGGATAAAATCCTTCGTTAAATCTTGCATGAACACATAGTTCTTTAGACACTGAGATACCTCTTTTATCGCAATAATGGATATATATATATATATATATATATATATATATATATATATATATATATATAATTGTCAAATGTCACAATAAAAAACAAAACTTACCAATTTGCACTTATTTTGTCGGGAAAAAAAAAGTGGTTTGTCATCATGTGAGACATTAGTAGGAAGTGGACAATGTCAATTGCATCGTGTAAAGCATAACTAAGTTTCGAGGGACACCGTTTAACGTTGATTTTACATTATTGAGGCACAGATTCACTACTAAAAACAAAAACTAATGACAGATAAATTCTGTAACTAATAAAATTTTTATTGTTAATCCTATTTAGCGATATATTTTTAAAAATTTTTATTAGCTACGAGCGATTTAACCAACATATTAACGATAAGTTCGTAATTAATTAAAGTTTTTTTAATAGTGATTTGAAATGCTAAACTAACAATATGTGACAAGGACTGAAGTTTAAAAAGAAAAAATCAAAGGTCACTATCTAATTGATTTGACATAGCCATCGGCATATGCCTCTATCCCTTGAATCGCTGTACACTAAAACTATTTTTGTCCTAATTACTGTCATGGGCGGCTTTCCAGCCATGCCCCATGACCCCTTGGGCGCGCCCCGTGGCGTCCTAGCAAACCTCCCAATGCCTAGCGCCATGGACAGCCCCGTGGTCTTGGCCGCGCCAAGTGACAAGCGCGCAGGTGCCTCTGTCGCCCCACCGATATCCCTCGCGAGCGCCAAGCCGCAGGCAGAAGCCAACAGCGCCGCGCGCGCAGACGACGCCGCGCGCGCAGACCGTGATGCCAAAGACACTGCTGCTGACAACGGACCTGCTGCTGCCTTATAGAAAACTAAGTCATTTTCATTGTAAATATAGAGTAGTTTTATTTCATGTACTTCCATTATGTTTCTCTAGCTTAGTCAAGTCTAGTCTTGTAACTTTGGATTACTTTTTTTAAGTACTATTAGGGGGGATCAAGCAATCAAAACTTTCTAGCAAGTAAGCAATTCTCTGTACTGGTGTCTCTCCCCCTCGACACCGCGTTGCTTTTCTGTAATAGCTTTCATTAATGCAATCAAGCTTTCTTTCATTCTGAATTCTCATTTCTGTTCTCTCAATTGCTCTTGACATTGGTTTTCCCGTACGGCACTGACAATCTCGTCTAGCGTACGGAGGGGACCTCAGTTGGCGGACAGCAACTGCACTGACATCAGTTGTCTAGCCTTACGTCGCCCTTCCAAGGAATCTCAGGAAGGCGCCGCGTAACAGTTGGTATCAGAGCCTAGGCTCGACATCGGACGAGGGAACGTATTGACATACCACCATTTCTGACCATGGTGAATCATGGGGACCGCATTGCGGCCCTCGAAGGGACGGTTGAGGTATTGCGGCCTATTGTGGATACGGTGCCTGAACTAAGAACCAGCCTACTGCAAAGGTTGGACGACCTGGACCGCAGGGTGCTTCAGGTCGAAGTTGACGTTGAAAACATCAGTCGCGACTCCGAGGGAGACCGGCAGACGGCAGCCACAGAGGCAGCCGAAATCTTTGAGAAATTCGAGGGGCTCCAACAGGAGCGCACCGAGGATTTAGCCCACAGGGCACAAGAGGCAGAAAAGGTGACTGCCATGCAACAACCATTGACAAATTGACAGACCAACTCAATGTTGTCAAC